AGGGCGGCGAGGAGGGCCGGATGTGCGAACGCGCCCAGCTCGAGCAGCAGCGCGATACCGAGCAGCCGCCGCTGCAGCGGTGCCGTGCCCGAGAGCCTCGAGTGCCGTCTCGATCGAGACCTCCTCCTCCTCCTCGCAGGAGTAGTCGGGCGCCATGAAGGGGTCGCCTCGCAGCAGGGGCGCGTTGGTTCCGCTTTCGCGTCTGGCGAGGCCGAGTGGGGGTGAACGTCAGCTGTGGGTGACGCGAGAGGAGCGCTGCATTTGGTGCTGATTCTGCGGGAGGTCCCCGTCGATCTGATCTCGGCGAATCTCGGCGAACCTCGGCGCTCGGCGAATCTCGGTGGATCTCGGCGAATCTCGGCGAACCTCGGCGCTCGGCGAATCTCGGTGGATCTCGGCGAACCTCGGCGGATCTCGGCGAGTCTCGCCCTCATAGGTCCCCGTCGCACTCGCGGTCGCCCCCCTCCTCGCGCGCACCCGCCGCCACCGCTGCTTGGTCGGGCTGGCGTGCCTCGTCGGCGTGCTCTCGCTGTTTCCCGTCGCCGGAGGGGCGAGGCTCGGCGCTGCTCTGGCGCGGCTTGTCGCGCTGGCCGCGCTGCAGGTCTCGTGGACCTCCGCCGCCGAGCTGCTCCCGACCGAGCGGCGCGTCGCGGGCATGTGCGCCGTCTTCGCCCTCACGCAGGTCGTCGCCGCCACCGCCCCCGCCGGCCAGTCGATCACCGCGACGTCGCTGCTGAGCGCGGGAGGCTGCTTTGTGGGCGCCGCCGCCGCCGCCGGCTTGCCACCGAGCGCGTTCAGCTTGCGCGACACGGCGGAGATGCGGGCGCCAAAGGCGCGAGAGGCCGAGGGGGTCACCGCAGTGTGAGTGGCCCCAGATATGGGCACAGCCCCGCGTCCCACCGTCCGTGTTCGGCGGCGCCGTGCATCCTCCACGGTGTCTAATTTTAAATAAGAGTGTCAGATCTTATAGAGGCGCCCCGAACACGCCCCACGCGAGCAAAACTCGCTCCATCCTCCAGCCTACACACGCCCCGCGCGCCAACCGCCAGATCGCCCCATCGTGGATCCGATCCCACGCCGCCGGATGTGCGTTGTGCCTACGCCCCGGTTGCTTCCCCCCGCCGCCATGGAGAGAAGGGCCACTGCGACGGTGTATCAGTCGCCTTATGCCACCGTTGCATATCCGGATATGCAACGGTGGCATAAAGTGAATGATACACCGTCGCAGCCACGATGCCGCTGCTCCTGTCTGGCGCCCCCCTCCACCCAGTGCGAGGTGCTCTGCTCCACGCGCGCGGAGCGGCCGAGCACTGGCTCTGGCCACACGGCCAGGCCTTTTGCGAGGGTGAGTGACACACACACACGCCTTTTGCGGAGGTTTTGCGTACACATATTTCCCCTCGCTGTGTGTCTGTGTTGTTGTGCTGTTGTTTTGTGCCCTTGGCACCTTGCTAGGGAGGGTATGTATGCATGTAGGAAGGTGAAGAACAGTCAGGCTCGGACTGGACACCAGCGCATGTGCACCTTCCCCGCCAGCATGGCAGGGAGCCTGATGCAAACAGAGAAACTGCAGCGCGCGCCCTCGCACCCACGGCTGCGCAGTTTCTCTGAGATTCTCACCCCGCCTCGCCGCCGCGCTCCCGCGGCACACACCGCAGCAGTGAACATGCGAATCGAAGTAGCCATTATTCAGTTCTGTACGCACTGTTTTATTTTGGCATATTTCTTTTTTTGAGCGGCTCCCGTGGTGTACCTGTGTTAGTGCCAGTGCGCGCCAGTCCCGTGCCTAGTGCGAGGATTTTTTGTTGTAAAATTCTTTTTTGCGGCCACAAAAAGAAAACAGAGGACCCTCCCCCGCCCAAATAAAAAGTTGAGTGCTCACTGCCAGAAAGATCGCCAGGGGGCAAGTGTGTGTGGCACCTTCGACCTCGTAATGTAGGTCACCACACCAAACCGGGCGCTAGGAGAGGTGAACTGAAGGCCTGAGACAACGGAGGCCGAGCCGCCTGGAGTGGGCGCGCGCGCGCCCCCACGCAAGCAGGCCTCTGTCGCC